GCGGGGGCAAGTGGGCAGCCGGTCCTCTCACAAAGTCCAGCAGTGTCGCCTTTACACGAAGCAGCAGAAAAGTTTGCCGGACCGCGGACGTTGTAGGCAGTTCCGCAAGCAGTGTGCTTTTCGGCAGCAAGAAAGCAGCCTGGCCGCGGAGCTAGGAGCGGTGAGGGAGCTCGTGGCTGAAAAGTTTTTGACGGAGCCTTCAGAGTGCTTGTCTTGTGGCGCCAAGCAGGAGCTGTTGAGCACAGCTTGTCTTCAGGGAAGCCGGTCCAAGAAGAATGGCCGCGTGGGTGCTCTCTACGTTCGATGTCGCCAGTGGAAGTGTCGACATCGCATGAACATCCTCCGGTTTTCTGCTTTCGCGGGGTTGAAATGGAGTCCAACGGAGCTGAAGCAGGCGTTGGACTTGTACAGCAGCCAGCCCTTGTTCCAGCGCGTCCGTGTGGATGGCCTTTGCAGGACGCTAGGGTGGCATCGGAAACAAGTCACGTGGGCTTTATAGTGTGATTGAAGTTTGGTAGGGTGCGAGTTCAGCAGTGAGGGTGTGGTTTCATGTATAGGGTTTAGAGCAAAATGTCTGAATCGTTTTGCAGCAGCTGAGGTTCAGCACTTCTGCGACACGTTGTGGTCCGTGGAAATGATCGCGGGTCAGACAGCACAGAAACATTTGAGTTTGAAGGGAAACTTGGAGGCGGATGCCACAGCGATCCGCAAAGTCTACGTGAGCGCGCAGAACCCTGAGTACGGGCACTTGCTGCGAAAGTTCACGCAGACTCGGCGACCGAAAGCTTTCATCGTGCATCTCCGAGTAGTTGGCATCTGCGAGCGCGGCGGCAGGGTGTGTCTCGCACCACTGCCTTTGAAGCCGTTGCCCCTGCATGCCAGGCCTTGCATCATGAGTCCAAGCAGGAGCTCTACGACAGTGGTCTGTGGCGGAACATCGCGACGGACCAGAAGAGTGCGCTTTTCTCTGACGGCTGTCATTCGTGGAAGGCCATGTTGGAGAAGGCCGGGTTGGCAGACCAGGTGCTATACCGGTCATGCCGGCACTACATCGGAGAGTTCGTTCGCAAAGTGCCCATGCCGAAGTCCCTTTCCAACATGGCTGGCACCATGGCAATCGATTCCTGCTGGAAGCACATGAAACGCTACATTGGGGGAGATCTCAGCAACAAAGTGCAGAAGAAGATCAACCCTCGCTTCTTGATGTTCATGTGGGGCTGGGCCTACCGCCACAATCTGAAAGGCAGACAGCCGATTTTTGTACACAAAAGCCTAGGCAAAGCCTGCGGCAAGTACTTCAGTACGTATGGAGGGGTGCGCGGTAAGAGAACGCGTTTCCCAAAGCCTTTTTGGTGATGGAAGGGTGCTGGAAGACCCTGTGGAATGCTGGAGTGCCTAAGTGCCTCTTCTTAGCCTTGTGGGGAGTATTGACGGCAAAGTGTCACTACTCGGCGAGTCAGAGTCCATGCAAACAGAGTGTGAAAGAAGATGTGGGTGATGGGATGATAATT